CCCTTGCTTTTTTTTTTTTGCTATTTTTGCATACATTCTATGGATAATTTCAGGACATTTTAAACAATAGTATATTATGATAATAAATAAAAATGTCCACTGGGCTATTAATTTAAAAAAACAACCCTCTTAGTTAACAAGGTACTTAAATAAATAGTTGGGTTTATGGCAGTTCAGCTTATCACATTTGGATGAGGCCCTTTTGGAAAGATAGTCTGCTGTCCTTCCATGCCACCTAACTGTATTTCTGCCAGGCATCAGTGTTTTCTGTTTCTTCAAAATAATGGTTGCCTGTGCTGAGTGACATCTCACAGGTATCCTGATTTTTTTGTTTTTGTTTTGGGTTTTCGTTTTTTGGGGTACTAGGGATTGAACCCAGGGGCACTTAGCCCACTGAGGCACATCCCCAGCCCTTTTTTCTATTTTGTTTAGAGACAGTGTCTCAGTGAGTTGCTTAGGGCCTTGCTAAGTTGCTGAGGCTGGCTTTGAACTCACAATCCCAGAGGAGTATAGTGGCACACATGGTGACCTTTGCCTCCCTACCCACTGGGATTATAGGCGTGCGCCATGTGACGATTTCTGGAGGACCTGGGAAAGTATTTATTCTTACTGTCAGAGCAGCAAAGACTGTAGTGGCCAACAGGGTCTCTTTCCTTAAGGTCATTCTAGGAAGCTGCTTTGCGCCCCCCGCCCCCCCCCCCAAAAAAAGGAGCTCTTGGAAATGGCTCTCTTCTTCTCTTCCTACAAATACAATGATTTCATGCAACAGGTGACTTCATTTTGTGTCTTTAAGAAGCATTTTTGTGAAATTTATGTATTTTAATCACTATACCAGAATAACAATTGAAGTTCTTCCTCTTTTTTTTCATTTATTGACACCTTGTAGTTAAAAATACAGACCCTGTATCCCCTGTGGGGCCCACAACTCCCCGCCAGACTTTTTTCACATTGTAATTTCAGTAATGCATACACAAGAGCTCAATCCATAGCWCCAAAAACCAACCAGCCAATCAAATATTTTTCGTTTCAGATTACAAGCATGTTAGCAAAATAAAATAATTTCAGTTGGGGAAAAACAGCTTCTCTATACCGTTGGTTTTGGCAGGTTGTAAAACAACYTAATATCAGGAACCTGTGGGGTCTGGGGTTTTCTTTATTAATTTTTTTWAATTAAATTTTATTGATGTCCTATCTTTTTGAAAAATATTTTTTAGTTGTAGATGAACATAGTACCTTTATTTATTTATCTTTATGTGGTGCTAAGGATTGACCCAGTGCCTCACCCACGCTAGGCAAGCGCTCTACCACTGAGCCACACCTCAGCCTCGACTTTATTGATTTCTTAAGACTTAATTTTGCAGCCAGGTGTGGTGATGTGGTCATGCATGCCTATAATTCCAGATATTAAGTCAGGAGGCTGAGGTACTATTGCAAATTTGAGGCTAGCCTGGGCAATTTTGTAAGACCGTGCCTCAAAAGAAAATAAAAGCTGGGCATAATGGTGCACACCAGTAATCCCTGCTATCAGGAGGCTGAAGCAAGAGTATTGAAAGTTCAAGACCAATTTTGTTGTTTCTGGCCACTTCTTCACTTTCAAAGTAAATCCTTGATAGATCTCTTGTTAGATTTGGAGAGGATACACTTTCTTTTTCTAATGTCTAGAAATGATGAAGAGTCCATTCTGACTTATAAAAAAAAGTACTACAGACCAGCTCTCACAGGACAAATGAAAAACAGCACTGTCTTCACTTTGATGTTTAGAATTTGTGAACATAAATGGTTGCAATGCTATCAGAAGAGATATGAGGAAAGATAACGAAGTGCTATCCTTTTAGCCATACTTGTAGCTGGCCTTTGGTGTGCTGGGTGAGCTCCTAAGGATGGCCCCATTTCAGTGAGCTTTCCATGGTAGCAGCCTTGAATGTTGAGAAGGGGAATGGGGATTCCAATTTTTCATCCCCTGTCATCCTCCCACAYACTACCATCTTTTTTCCTCCCTAGCTTAATATACATTTTATATCAAGCTACTTAAAACACAAAGTATTAAGCTCTCAGTATACTATGGAAATTATGTCTCTAATGCACAGTGATTGAGCAATAACAATACTGCTTGTCTTAATGTCAATATGAATTTGTCTCATCTTGTCTGAAACATAATTGAACAAGTTCAAGCTCAGACAAGTCTTTGAGTTCACTATTCATTTCTCAAAAGCACTTTCTTACACAAACATGCATAGCCTTTGTTTTTGATCCTTTTCTTTCTTTTAACTTGTTTTCTATTCTTTAATTCTTCTTTTTGTTAGTTAATTTCTGATATAGAGAAAATATAAGGCTAGGGCTGTAGCTCAGTTGCCAGACATGCACAAGCCCCTGGGTTCAATCCCCAGCAGCACACACACGGAAAATATACATTATTTCTTAGATTAAGTATTATTATTAGCAGTAGTAGTATTTTTATTAATTAATTKGTTTATTGGTACTGGAGATTTCAGATGTGTTTTACCACTGAGTCACTTCCTGAGCCCTTTTTATTTTTGAGACAGGGTCTTGCTAAGTTGTTTAGGGACTCACCAAGTTGCTGAGGCTGGCTTTGAACTTGGCGATCCTCCTGCCTCACCTTACCTAGTTGTTGGGATTATAGGTGTGTACCTCAGTATCTAGCATTAGACTCATTTCTTTTTTTTTTTAATACCTTTATTTTATTTATTTATTTTTATGTGGTGTTGAGGCTCAAATCCAGTGTCTCACACATGCTAGACAAGAATTTTACCACTGAGCTACAGCCCCAGCCCCCATTAGACTTGTTTCTGTTATGACTTCAAAAGTTTCCTTAGCAGGCTGGTGTTGTGGCTCAGTGATAGATCACTCACCTAGCATGTGCGAGGCYCTGGGTTTGATCCTTAGAACCACATAAAAATGAATAAAAAGTAAAGGTATTGCGTCCAACTAAAAAATAAATATTAAAAAAGTTTCCTAGCATATTATAAACTGGCTCTTTTATTCTGTGTTTATGTGGTATGGGGCTGTTGGTGCTTCTTATAGGGCTTCACCAAGTAATTTGATCTTGCCGCATTTGTGCACATGCTCTGTGTTGTCAGGCAGAACTAGAGTAGAGGCAGCACAGTTAACAGGGATTCCTATTTGCAGGAAAGGATTTTTTTCCTTTTTTTTTTTCAAGGATTGGGGACTGGATCCAGGGGTGCTTTAGCACTATGCTACATCCCCAGCCCTTTTAATTTTTTTATTTTTTAATGTAGAGATGGGGTCTTGCTGAATTGGCCTAAAACTTGTGATCCTCCTGCCTCAAACCCCCAAATGACTGGGATTACACCAGCTGTACCAGGCTGCAAGAAAGAGTTTTCAAACTTGACTACTGTTTTCTCTGTTTGAGCCTTTTTCTCTCCTTGCCTGCTCGTTTTTCCCCTGACCATATAATTATCTTAATTTTGTTGAAAGTTAATGAGTTAACAGGTTGCACTCTGTCTCTTAAAAAACAGTGTTCATAATATATAATGGTCTTAGCCAAAAGTCATTTAAAAAATACTATTTACAAAGTTTTTTCTATAAAGAAATACATTGTAAATACAGTGGTACCATTTGGTTTTTTAAAGTGGAACTTGAGTCCCTCTAGTGGGTAGTAAAATTTGAGATAGGATAAGAAAAATTTGGATTTTTCAGTATACCTGCTTTCATATTCAATTTTCTCATTGGTACTCTTGTTCTCCATCCCCAGCTGAGAGGCAGTTAGTTCTCTGCTAGCCCCTAAGGGCCCTCTTCCCAGCCAAAATTCAGAAATCCTCCTTCTTTCACCCATGTGATCTCAGTGGCCCTGGTCACTGCTAGCCTGTGATCACACAAGCTTGCTAGCTGCTTCGTTTCAAGCTTCAGTAAGTGTAATTCAAACTATAAGTTGGTGATTTTATGCCATGAATATTTTATTTTTTTTATTTCTTGATACTGGGTATTGAATCCGGGGTGCTTTGCCTCTGAGCTGCATCCCAAGCCTTTTTTTTTTTTTTAAGTTTTTAGTTATAGGTGAACACAATACCTTTATTTTATTTATTTATTATTATGTGGTACCAAGAATCGAACCCAGTGCCTCACAGGCGTGCTAGGCGAGCCCTCTACCACTGACCCACAACCCCAGCCCCTACGTCCCTGTCCCTTTTTATTTTTTTAGTACCAGAGATTGAACCCAGGAGTGCTTAACCATATCCTCAGCCAGTTATATCTTTTATTTTGAGACAGGATCTCATTAACTTGTTTAGGGCCTTGCTAATTTATTGCAGCTGGCCTTGAACTTGTAATCCTCCTGCCTCAYTCCCAAGTTGCTGGGATTATAGGCATATACCACCTTGCCTGGCTTGCCATGAAGTTCTTTATAGAAAAGATCACAGCAACCCAGGTTCCTTGGGTTACCATGAAATAAATAATTGTTGAAGGCCTGCTTTGGGCACATAGGTGAGGACATTTAGCAGTTGGAGAAATTCTGTACTGATGGTTAGAACAGAGAGGCAGGATGGTGTGATTGCAAAATATGAGGGCTTGCCAGGAATGGTGGCAACACACCTGTAATATCGGACTTAGGAGGCTGAGGCAAGAGAATCTACAAGTTTGAGCCCGGCCAGGCAGGGCAGCTTAGCTCAGTGCTGGAGTGCCCCTACGTTTAATCTTCAGAACTGGGAAGAAAGAAAAAAAAAAAAGAATTTAGGGTTCAGATCCCAACTTTGCCATAACTAGCTGTGTGACCTTCAGTTGTGATCACATGCCTCTCTGTACCTTAGTTTTCCCTTTTGTAAAATGAAGAGACGAAAACTGCCTTGCAAGGTTGTTTTAAGTATTGGAAATGTTATGTAAATGGGTTTGTGTTTTTAGTGTTCAGTGATTGGTAGCAGAAGTCTTGGAAATATCCCCTACTTGAGTCTCAATAATTAAATATATGGGATTTAATTATTTGGATGACTTTTCATCTTTTCTGTATTCCTTCTTTTTTCTTTCAGTTACCACCAAGTAARCGAAGAAAATTAGAGAAGTCAAGAAAACCCATTACATTTGTAGTGTTGGAGTCTGTGATGAAAGAATTATCCCTCAAAGCATCATCTTTGGGCTCTGAGACAGTGGAGGGCATAGTGGTTGTGACAACATGGATAGAAAAAATTCTCACTGATTTAAAGGTACCTGGTTTAAGCACATTGACTGAATACTCAATAACCTCCCAGCCAGCCTGCTTGCCTGCCTTCCCTTTCCCACTTGCCCTTCCCTCCCTTTTTTTTCTCTTTTTCTTTCATGTAAAATTCAGTTTTTCCTCCACACAGGTCCAGCATAAACGAGTTCCCTGTGGAAAAGAGGAAGCTAGTCTTTTCCTGACAGCCATAGAAAACTCCTGGATTCACTTAAGGCGAAAGAAAAGAAAGCAAGTGAGACAACTGAGGGAAGTGCCTCGAGCTCCTGAGGATGTCATACAGGCCTTGGAGGAGAGAAAAGCCATCCCCAGAGAGTCGGGCAATAGCCAGGATGTGGCCCCGAGCCCCCAGGAGGGTACCCTTTGTGGGTCTGCTCTGCAGGAGGGCGAGTCTGCCACTGTTGGGGGCTACTGCCCAAGCCAGGAGTCACTGTCCCAAGAGGAAACCCCAGAACCCATGGAGGATGAAAGGAGTGAGGAAAGGGGAGGGGAGGAGGTTGTGGAAAGTTGTAAAGTCTCTTGCAACGAAACCCAGGACCGAGAGGCTTCTGAGCAATATAGCAACCCAGGGGCCGAAAAGGGGAAGCCCCTCCAAGGAGCAGCTGGACATTACCTATTTAAGTGTTTGATAAACATTAAGAAGGAAATGGATGATGCCTTAGTTGAAATGCATTGGGTTGAGGGCCAGAACAGAGATTTGATGAACCAGCTTTGTACCTATATACGTAACCAGATTTTCAGGCTTGTTGCTAGTTAACTCCATACTTCTTGCAGTTACAAGAGTGTCTGTAGAGGACTGGGGGTGTTAGCTCAGCTTCGCATGCGGAAGGCCCTGAGTTCCATCCCCAGTACCACCACCCCCCCCCCAAAAAAAAAAAAAAGTCTATTAAACAAATTGTTTGGAGTAGCCTAAATGGTGGCAAGAGGAATTTTACCACTGGCCTATTAGTAGTATTATGTGGAATTATCTTAAAAAGCAGAAATCAATTAATCCATTTTAAAGTTATAAGGAGTTATAGTTCAGTAGTTCAGGAGGAAGAATTATGGTTGTCAGCAACAACAAAAAGATGTAAACTCAGGAGGGATTTAAAACTGACTCAAGCTGGTCTCCTCCGCATTGGACTGATTTCATGAGGCCAAGGTATCGTTTGTGGTGTCTGGTCTTGGGTCAGCAATTCCCAGAACATCATGGTTTGGTCCCCCAGGGTCTTCATGAGGAGAAGGCACTCTTGTCCTCCAATGGAGAGCAGAACAGAAAGGCCCCAGAGCCCACTTCTAGAGTTACCTTTAAGACTAAACCTCTGCACCCTGGGTACATATGATTGATTAACTGTGCTCCAGTGTCCAGAGATGAGCTGGCCTGATGGGAGATGGTGGGAGAGTTGGGAGGAGAAACCTTAATAAGATCAGGAAGAAGGGCYCCTCTGGGATACGCCTGGGAAATTGCACATTGCTGACTCCTGGCTATTTTGATATTGCTTATTTCAGAAGCAGAATTAAATGAACAAAACTCCTAGATATGACTGAGACAACAAAATACACCCMTACCCGTTTTGTAGCAGTTTTGCCACTGTTTGGTTTTTGTTTAAACACAAGAAGTAGAACTTGTTTTATTTTTAATATAAGAATATTCAGAATTAAACTGTCAATACTGTTTGAATCCTGGGATTGGGGAAAATACTTTCATAGTGAATGATGGTATATTACCTTAAGAAAGCCTCTATTGGCGGGTAATTTGTTGCTGATCAAGTGCTGCTTTTTATGTCTTCCCTTGTAATCCCTTCTGTGCATTACCTGATAGCACTGGAGCATTCTGGGGTCAAGTTAACCGTGTCATCAGAACATGTTTCTAATCCAAATGCCAGWGTTCAACAGATATCTCTGGAAGGCATTCTTGGTTTTTGTTCTCTTAGTGTCTCAGTAAACCATTTCTGTGCTGGATTCACTCCGCTCAATTTTGTACCAGTACCCTGCTATTCTGTTTAGAGTAAAATCTTTCATTCTAATACCAGAGCTCCTTGCCCACTCCAATGAAGATGACCTCCCTGTTGAGAGGTGGCTGTTAGGGCAGAAAGCTAGTGACTGGCATATTTTGGTGGTGGCTAAATTAGACCCTCTACAAAGGCATAAGGGAATGAAAATAGTTTGTCTCATTTTGGCAGTAGAACTGGGAAAAGAGGTTTTAAACCCAGGGCTCTTTGCATACTAAACAAGCATAATACCACTGAACTCTATCCCCAGCCCTTTATTTTATTTTAAGACAGGGTCTTACCACATTACACAGGCTGGCCTCAAACTTGTGATCCTCTTGCTTAAGCTTCTGAGTAGGTGGGACTACTGGTGTGCACCATTGTGCCTAGCTGGGAAAAGAGCATTTTAACCAGTAACCTGTGTTCTAAACCTAGTCTATGGATCTCCAGATAATCCATAACCCTCCTGGGATTATTTCTAAAAGCTCTGTGAGCTTGTGTGTAAGCGCGCTTGTGTGTGTGTGTGTGTGTGTGTGTGCGCGTGCGCGTTTTCCTGAGGAGAGGATTCATGACATAGGGAGAGGGGTGAGTAACCTGATAAGGATAAAGAACCACCATTCTAGTCCAGACATTCATTTGACCAATGCTCAGGGTTATATAGAGCCAAGACTCAATCCAGGGCTTTGGATCCCTTGTCCTGTAATTTTTGATGTATTGGCTTAGGCCATCTTTTTTTTTTAATATTTATTTTTTAGTTGTACACAATACCTTTATTTTATTTCTTTATTTTTATGTGGTGCTAAGGATTGAACCCTGGGTCTTGCACATGCTAGGCGAGTGCTCTACTGCTGAGCCACAACTCCAGCCCTTGGCTTAGGTCATCTTGCTATACTCACCTCTGATTACTATCACATTTGAATCAGATGCAGGGCCCAAACTTAGTTTTCTTGAAATTTTAGGATTTTTTAGTTAACTGGCAGCTGTTCATTCTATAAGTATTTTTAAGTATTTATTGTTTCTTTGTTTCATTCTAAAAAAGTAGCAGATGCTCAGAGATTTGGAAAAATTAGGCTGGGGATATACAGTGGTAGAATGCTTGCCTAGAATGGGTGAGACCCTTGACTTGATTCCTATCACCAAATACAAAACAAAACAAAAAACCCACCCACAACTTTAGCCTTCTCTGATATTGTTATTTGTGGGTCTCCCTCCAGTCTTTCTAGAGATGCTATGTATATGTGAATTTAACTTTGAATGTACTTATTATGCTTTTCTTTTGTTTTGCTRCTGGGGATTCAACCCAGTCAGGGGTGCTCTACCTCCCCAGCCACCCTTTTTATTTTGAGATGGGTTTCTCTAAGTAGCCAAAACTGTCCTCAAACTTGTGATCCTCTTGCCTCAACCTCTTGAGTCTCTGGGATTATAAGCTATATTGTAGTCTTCACTTAACATCTCATAAGTATTTTTCCACATTATAATGGTAATGTACTTATTTATACTCCTTGCCTGTTCACAATGTTMTTCAGGCACAGTATTGGCCTTTATTCAGGTCTCCTTCACAGGTATTCTCATAGTACTTTTAACTGGAGACAAAATGTGTGTCTGTTTGTATGTGTTTCAGTCCCATGTTTAAGGCTTTGTGTTATAGAGGAGGTTTTAAAAGTGTTAAACTAATGATCCTAGAATTTTAAAGAATGACAAGAGCAGTGTTCACAGTCTTTGTAAAACTAGAACTATGAGTGCTTTGCATTTGTATGTCATTTCCTTCTCTGAGAAGAATAGTTTATGTCTTTCTGTCCTCCTTCCCTCTCTCCCTCACTCCCTCTTTCTTTTCTTTCTTTATTTCCTACTGAAATTGAACCCAGGCCTTGTATATGCTAGGTAAGCACTATTCCCCAGACCCAGAATAGTTTATTTCTTAAATTAAGGAGAGGGCATTGAAAACCTTATAAATGGACATCTAAGAATTGTGTTGGTTATGCATGTGCTTTAATTTCATGTCTATCTTTAGTATGGGGGGTAAGTTTTTTGTTTTTTTAAGAAATATATTACTGCCCACATGTTGCAGTGTTGAGTGACACTCTCTGTAAGTGTCTGGAGGTCAAATTCATCTTGGTGTTGGTGGATTGGTATGAAATGAAATCTTTGTGGTGTTATCTTAAATTCTATTCTGGTCCCTGGAATTGACTTCTGATATTCCGATAGCTAAAATGGGAACAGAAGTTGAGCTTGTTTTCCAAGATGAACTAAAGCTGCTTTTGTTTTCTCTCAGTTTGGTTTCTTTACCCCACATCCTTGCCTGACTGCTCCTACACCAGAGTTTTGCTGCATGTCCTGGCAAGGTTGATGGCTCTGTGGTGGGGTTTTCAACTAATCTTAGAGTTCATGTTCATTACTTTAGTATGTATTTTTAAAAATATAAAATACATCTTTTCTTGGTGGAAATGAAAGTTTACTATGTAAGCACACCACCTTCTAAGCTCTGGAAAGAGTAATAACCACATGTGTAGAAAAGATGCAAAGTCTGTGGAGACTGAGGACTTTGAAAGAAGGGAGCTTTTTAAAATTCTTGAATGCTGCTGGTGCCTCTCTCCTTACCTAGCCCACAGCACTTCCCTCAGTAGCCACATGGGGGCACCTTCGGCCCTCTTATCAAGCACTTTAACTTCACTGTGGGAATCCATAAAATTGTGTCCAAGGTATTTTCTTGAAATATACAGTTGCTCCCCAGGTAAGCATCTTTATATAAACAAGGACATTTTTACATTAAAAACTTTGAAAAATGAAAAAAGGGAAAACTACTATCATGATCTTTTTATCCAGCACAATCCCTTTCAGACTTTTTATGTTTTGTTTTTTTCATAGTCGTAGTTGACTATCTTTTTTCTTTTCTTTCTATCTCTCTTCATATTGARGAATGTTCTCAGGTTGTACCTACTCTTTTGGATCAATTTTTTTATTAGTATGTAGTTAATGGGGATACCAGAGTGGGAAGGTTTAGTGATTTTGAAACAAAAACTTCTCAAAAGCCTTATGTTCCAGGACAAGTAACAAGAGCACCAAGAAAGATGGTTATTCATGTTCTTTTGTATATTCATGCTTTAGGTTTATCTGGCTGGCTAACTAATGTGCATGTAATGTGTTGTTTCAAAAAATATATATCAAAAGTTGGTGAGGATTCTGTGTGGTGTATATTACGCAGGTCAGCTTGGCCATGTTTCTTATAAGGGTATATCTGTGTAGAACAGGAATATTACCCTAGGGTCTATGTGGCTCTAGGAACAGTTGCATCTACTCTTATTTTATGGCACAGGATCAAGTATAAGTGGCTACCCAAAACTGATTAGCCCATTAGGAAGAAGAAAATACWTTGGAATACTAGGTTAGGAGCCTCCTGGAAGAAGGTGCCACCTAGGGCATGTCCAGAGGAAAAGGATGTAATCACATCATTTTTAGGGAAGTTGGTGCTCCAGAGATTTGGTTTCCTGAAAGGGCACTAACCTCAGTAGAACCCTGTGCTGTTCAGTTTAAGAATGAATTGGCCAGAGGCTGAGGCAGGAGGATTGCCAAGTTCAAGGCCAGCCTCAGTAACTTAGTGAGACCCTATCTCAAAATAAAAAATAAAATGGGCTAGGGATCTGGCTCAGTAATTAAGCACCTCTGGTTTAAAAAAAAAAAAAAAAGTTGGCCTTTGCTACCTGGAGTTAGGGCATTGGTGAATTTGAACCTTTCTAGTATTTCCAAATATATACCCTTTGGTGCTAGTACCAGTGTACTATTAGACAGCCCTGCACAGGGCTTACCCCACTAGCAACAGAGCCTCAGATGCACACACCAGAGAGTTCCTGCTCTGCTCTGCTCTCATTCAGATCCTCTGCTGTGACTCACCCAAATGAC